TGTTTTTCCTACAACATGGGGTATTTTTTTACAAAAAAAAAAAAAAAAGCAGCCAGGTGGGGACCGAAGTGAATCGTGGGGACCACTGTCAGGTCCCCACGGGTCCAAATGCATGTTACAGGTGTGGGGTTAGGTTTAGGACCAAGGTTTAGGTTAGTTTTAGGGTCAGGTAAGTTTCTGTGAGGTTAATTTTAGAGTATATGGTCAGGGTTAGGATATAAAGTCTAAAAAACATAAAAACATGAATGGAAGTCAATGGAAGGTCCCCACGGGGTCGAGACACAAACGTGTGTGAGAGTGACAGAAGGGTGGGTGGGGGAATAGTAATAATAATAGTAAACAAATAACTGTGGGTAATTTTCACATTTTTGTTTAAAACACCCACACCTGTAACGTCACTGACATCCCACCAGACTGTCTAGTGAAATGTGTGCTCATTTAATGTTTTACTTTTTTAAAAATAATGTAAACCTTATTTTCACAGCCTGTAATCTACATTTCAGATATGTTATTATCATTTCTTGTTAAACTCAACCTGAGCGGGTTGATATAACTTATTCCGATTTGCAGTGTTGGAAAATGTGTTTCCTACATAGAAAATAAATCCATTAAAGTTTTCTGTATCTGCAGTGGTTTGTTTTAAAATCCAAAATGTTTTTCCTTATTCCTGAAAAAAACAATAGGAACATATTCAGCATGTTTTTGTTGTTGATTGGAGAGCTTCATAATTTGTTTCACTATTATTAAAGTTTGACCTCATGAACAATATGTACTTTTCTAATTTAGTACAGCTGAATGAAGTGTCACATAGCTGACATCATTTGAACCAGATTAGAGAGGTGATTAATTCCTGGGTAATTACTTGCAGGGCTTGAAACGAGCCTCACATCATGCCGTTAATCTTGCATTGAACTGTTTTATTTTCTGAACAGATCACTTTCACACAGGACCCATGTCTGCATCCCCTTTACCCCCAAAAACTGGTACCAGGAAGCTCAGATGTAAAACAAGGAAGCAGAGGGAAACACACAGCGGTGCTCTCAGKCTCCCACAGACACGACAGCGAGCTCCACTGTGATCACACACTCATCAAACTCGTATTATTATCTCAGGAAGGAGGGTGAAAATAAGCCTCCGCCTCCGTTTCTTCCCGTGTCAAAGGCCACAGAGTTCGTTCAGAAGAAGCAGTCAGGTGCATTACAGCAGATCACTTCTTATCTGTGAAATGCACGCATTTCACGCTTTTATCAACACATACTCAATAGTGCAAACAGACAACACCTGCAAACAGCCCCAAGCATTTTCTAAATGTTTAACTAAAGCTCATATATCAAAGGAAAGCGTTATGTGTGGTTTTTATCTTTTTAACAACCCCTTTGTAGACATTATCCTAAACAAGATTTAACAAAATTCTCTAAAACGACATGTTTGAGGTTTTGGAAACACTCACCTAAAGTTAAGTTGATTAAGCAGCCCCATTCGTTTAATTAAATAACTTTAAATACTCGGCATTTCCTTCGGTGACACTTTGCTCCGCTCATCTGACCGACACAGCGGCGCTGACTTCAGGCCACGCCCCCACATTCAACATCTGTRAGGAGCAGCCAATCAGATCACGTCAAGTCCAGGCCGCGCCCATATCTGCATCCGCCCGCAGGACGTCAGCCAATCACATTACTTACATGAGTCATTGTTAATTCTACTAGACTGTCAAAGGTTTTTTTTWAWYCYTTTTTTTTTTTTTTTGCATACACGCTTTTTCCTCGCTGACATGTAAATGAATGAATCTATTCAGCATGGAAATGTAACATGTTACTGAGCAACCAAGTCTGTATTTAAACTGGGATTAAACAAAAATGTCAGCATTACAGCTATTTATTTCAGTGTGAGACTGAAAGGGACTTTATTTTTTGTCTCACAGTATGGCATAAAAAAACATAACTCCAGTATAAACGTTTTTCAGTATAAACTCATGTGACTGAAGTCATAATTAAAGGGATGTTTGTCCATTTTAAAGTGGTGTTCTGTGAATATTCACAATTAATATCTTACCTGTTGTAGATAGATGTTTGAATGGCCGCAATTTGAAAAAAGTGGTTTGACCCTGACAGCCAACAGCTCATCCGAGTGCAGCCAAGACCAAAGTGGACTGCTGCCACCAACTATAGCAACTTTTTATGATGAATTTTATTCTGACATAAAAGCATATATTATTTTTTAACAAGCAGTAAATTCTCCAAACCATGTTTATTCAAATCTACAACAGGTCAGGTACAAATTATCCATTCTTTTTTCTGCAGAAGTCAAAACAATCAAAATATTGTCATTAACCTGTCACTATATTTGCTGCCCAGCTACATCTGACGGGACTGCTCAAGAGGAAATCACATCTCACACCATGTAGGTTACATTAGAATGTAATATTATGAAAAGTACCATAAAAAGGAAATAAAGCTGCAGCCGAATCGTATYCACTGAAACCAAAAAGTGACTACCAGACAGATAAGAAAGCAGAAGCTGGAGGATTAACTGCAGCACTAAATGTTTTCTCAGACACAGAAACTACTACAGTTCGATGCAATAGAATGACATGTAACAGTAAAGGAACAACAAAGGCCCGTATTATGTTTTGTCAGCGGCGAAGATGAAAATGTGAAAATAATTATAGGCGTTATTCAAATAGGTCACAATTAAAATATGAAGAAGTCAATCTGTCAAATGGGTGTTACTTTGTCAGCTTTATTTTTGCTAAAATTCCTTGGACATTCCAAAACATACAACATAAGATAATATTACTTTAAAACTGGTATAAGAAATAAAGGGAAAAGGCATTTTTAAATCAAGGAATGCTTTAATTTTTACCATTGATTACGTCTTATATTATACCCTGTTGGGATCTGGTCTCATAAAAAATTCATTGCATTGAAGATATTATATACATTTTAATAATCAGATTTTAACATTTTCAGTATCACTGTAGAAAAGATAAAGGCAGTGATGTCAGGTGTTTACATAAAATAAACAAAAATTAAATGTACCTGGTTCAATGTTCAGGTTACTGAACCTGATTTATTGTGCCAAACTGCAACGTTATTTTCAATCAAGTAATTAGGACTTTATTTATTTACAAAAATAAAAATACAAAATTTCTTTTCATGTCTTTTTTTTACATCAGAAAGTGCAATAAATCAGTAACATGGGAGGATGTACATCTGCATGCATTTTACAGCACCATAATATAATCTGTGTCATTTGAGAAATAATGATTAGGTTATTTATAACATATATTACAACAATTAAACAGACAAGTTTGAACAAGTCAAAACTGTCCTAATGTGCGCTCAAAGTAGTATATTGAAAAGTCAACATCGCTCCCTGCTGGTCATATTTATTATTGCGTTTTAACTAAAAACATTCCATTATAAAAGGCATAAAAATGTTGCTGTTTAAAATGTATAGTTTACAAAAACTTATCTTTAAAGCAAAACATGTACAAACTGTATATTTATAGTGTGCATTCTCAGATAGTCTCAGGTTTTCACTCTTATTGAAGCTGAGGAGTTTTTGGCGACAGCTTGAGGCCAAAAAAAGGAGAAAAAATAATATGTATTAAAAGAAATTTCATATTCTCTTCCTAGGACCCTGAACCAGCATATTTATACACTCAAATCACAAATAGCTAGAAGACACTCTAGCATGACTGAGGTTAAAGTCAGTTCTGTCTGCAAACACAAAAAGAGGAGCTGAAACCTGAAGAATGAAAATTGAAATAGTTTCCTTCATTTGAACAAAATATTGCTTTGTGTTAAACAACTGTATAGCAGAGGTTTTTTTTTTTTGTCTGAAGTCATTCTTGGTTTCCCATGTCTTAACTGATTTGAATGCAGCCAGAGCCGAGTTTCTGCATGAAGTATTCAGGTTTCCAAAAGTTGCATTGCACCGTTGTTCAAGTCCTGCACCGTGTGCAGACTGTCTTCCTCTGCAATTTGTGCAACATTTACAACATCAGTGCTAAACGTTTTGAGTCCATAAAAACCAGGGAGGAGGGATCTCAGGGAAGAGCCCCGCTGAAGGTGACGACGGGCAGGCAGAGGAGGGAGCAGAAGGTAGGGTTCAGAGGCTGAATCTGAGCGGAAGTCTGACATTTTCTCAACCTCCAGTCAGTGGAGCTGTCAGGTTTGTAGCAGACTGATACGTCACACCTTGAAGAGACGTGCAGACAGAAACATGGGGTTAGAAAAAAAAAACACTGCTGAGCTCAGAGGTGGGTGTAAACTGAGGCCCATGATGCAAGGTGAGCCAAAACTACAAGAAGGAAGAAACCATTAATGTGCTGAAAGACCATTTCTCTAAAAATACAGAAATTTCAGTCATTTGGAGGCAGTGTTCTGAGTAGAAGTTTAAAAATTAAAATCTTACTGGTTAAAAAAACGTTTTTTGAATGAAAAGTTTGTAAAAACAGAGTTTACGTTGGATAGGAGTAAGAATGAGCTTCACATTATAACACCTTAGTAAAAAGGACGGTCCGTGCCTCAGCAGGACTGAGGAGCCCACAGACTCGTCTGAACAAGACCAAGATTTAAGAGGATTGTTGCCGTCTTAAAACGGCTCCAGACTGCACAGGAAGTGCTACTTCTAGCTGCTGCCGCTATGAATAACCATCAAAGTCTATGTAAATAAAATTGTGTAGCTGAAGCTGCAGAAAAGTCTATGAAACTAATATGAAATGAAATGTTTTCAGAACCTGTTTCATGGGTTTGATTTWAAAAAAATCTACCAAAGAATGTCTAAAAAGCAATGTCTGTCTTTCATTTGTTCATTTTTATAGATTTTTTTTCAGATTCTAGTTATTTCTGTGACCATTGAGAGTTTTTCTTTCATTGAACAATGGGTACAGAGTATTTTTTTTTTCCAAATTTGTATATTTATGCTTTATAGCAGTTTTTTTTGTTTTGTTTTGTTTAAGAGGTAGACACACATTTCTTATCACTAGCTATGTTTACATGCACAAAATTCTTTGATCAGATTGAAATGTATTCTGATTAAATAATCCGAATGTATCATTTACATGGGCACAATCCAATCATTATGACCGTTTACATGCACCAGGCTTTTRTTCTGGATGTAAGTCAGCAGACATGYGCAGTCAGGTCAGGTTTCCACAATCAGAATAAAATGATTGGATTAAGTGTTTACATGCCCGCTGTTCGGATTATCAATCGACATAAACCACCTCTCTCRTTTCGATTACAAATTCCTTCAGATCAAGCTGAATCGGGTCAGAATAATCCGAATGGGATTTCTCAAGCCATTTGGGTCTGGGGACCCCTTACAAGAGCAAAAAAAATTCCAGGGAACCCCTCATAAACCCCATGCTGTTTTAAAAGATAATTTATTGTCAATTCAACCCCTAAATGCCATGGGAATGTATATTTTATTAAGTTTATTATGTTCGTTTTATTAGTTCATTGCTCTCCAGGCATTTTTAAAAACAAAACCAAATTAAAATTTTAGTAAAACTTTTTGAGGACACCCCAGACACCTCTCGCGGACCCCAGTTTGCATTTTTATTCTGAATGGCAGTTTAATCTGATTACTTATGTCCATGTAAATGTAACTAGTGTCTCCATGAGTGTCTCAGTTTCATACCTTTTGACACTTTGTAGTATCTTCTTCTCATCCTGGTCCAAACACACAGCAAATGTTGTGTTTGTGGTCCCACTGACCTGCACTTTGTCCACCTTCACCTCCGTTACAGTCAGTTGCTGCAAATGTGAGCAAAACAAAAACACAATCAGTTGTTTTAAACAACTCTATTAAGTGATATTTAACACCACAGAATGTTGCTGGAGTTAGTCTAGTGTAATTGTAAACCTGTGATTTTAAAAACAGGTCAACAATCTGCTCACAACTCAAGATTGAAAGATTGAACACACTGAGCTATAAAATAAAATCATGCTTTTGCCAAAGCGTACACAAGCAAAACAAATGCGAGTGCTTCCTGTGAGTTGTGGCTTCTATTTTTTTAATTTCCCCAATCGAGCGGTTTGTTGAAAAATCTGCTCTCACACGAGTTTGCTTTGTGAGACGAAAAAGTCATGCCGGAGGCTGAGATGCTATCGAGGACTTATTTAGGTCTACGCCTTTGAAGGCGACAYGCTGCGATGTTTGTGTGACACGACAACACGGAGCCGCTCAGACCACAAACCACTGAGACAGACTGATGTCATATCTGGAGCTCACCTGATTGTAGCCCTTCTTGCTTTTGCAGTTTTGTCTCTTCAGGACCTCGGTCATGGTGAGCTGCAGGCACTCCATCTTTGAGTCTGGAAGAGATTTAAGCAAACGTTTAAATCCTCTTCGGGCAGCGTTGTCTTTTTGCAAAGGCTGCAAAAATCTGCACTGGAGATAAAGTCTAGCTACTGTAAATAGTTGTGCGGGGGGAAGTAACAACATTCTTTTTCTAATTAAAACAAAAATTTCAGATCAGTAAATTATAAAAAAACAGGTTTTGTTTGGACTGATTAATAACACAACCTCAGAAGCATTGTGGCTTTGTGTTTGTTAATCAATATTTTTTTAACACGTCCTACTTACAGTCACGTGAAAAAGAAAGCATGCAACTTGAAACAATACAATTTGCTTACTGAAATCAAAACCAACACAGGAAATGTTTTTTTCTTTTTTTAAAACACACAATGCAAATTCTCTGAAACAAAAACTAAATGCTACATCTTTGACTATTAGCGACATACCGAGCTCCTCAGGGTTCTTGCACGCTTTGCTGAAGTTGACTGAAGTGCAAACTTTGGTTTCTCTCTTCCACTGACTTCTCCCACTAATAACCACCTGAGAGAGAAGAAGAGATGAACATAAGCTTGCAGTCATGAAGGAGAAGCTGATAAATTGATAAATCGGGTAGTGAAAGGTTTCATTGGGCAACTCGACTCACTTCAGGGAACACAGGTGTGGTCGGGTTTTTATCACTTWCTGTGTGTGCTGTGGGTTTTTCAAGAATGCTCAGTACGTATGAACCACATTGTTCTGTCATTTGTACAACACACTGTGTTCAACCATCCATCCATCCATTCATCCATCCATCCATCCATCCATCCATCCATTTACTCCGAGTCGGGTCGCAGGGGCAGCATGAGCAGGGTTGAATTTTGTGTAATTGTGCCCCTAGCAGAAAACTCACATTCCCACCCTCCTAACTCTCAGATAGTTTGTGACTCCAACAGTCTCAAAGAAACATGAAACTTCTCTTAAAGGCTCAAATAACTAACTAAAACAAAATGCATTATAAAATTCCATATTTGAACGCAAACAAGCATAAGATCGGTAGCAGCTCCTGATAATGTAATCTTACTCTGTTGTACACCATCTCCAGCATGAGAGGCACAGCTTCTCTGTCTCCATCAATGCCGAACCGTTTACTCGCTGCACCTAAATGAAAAAAAAAAAAAAAACATTCAAACATGCAGTTACCAACAATGGAGTAGCAGTTTGGTATTAAAGTAAGAAATAAACTAATATTTAAAGCCCTGATCTAGACTTTCTGATGAGGCAACGTTTTGTGAAAACAGCAAATAATGAAGAATATACAAGTCAGTAACTGAGGGAAGTAAGACCTAAACAGCTTTCCCTGGACTTTTATTTCTGCTCAGAAATCCCATATCAGAAGTACAAGCAGGGGTGACGAATGAAACTAGGAAAGTAGAAGTGATGTGAATCATGTTCCAGAAATAGCAGAAGTTCCTTTTCCATAAATGTGGTTTGCYCTCAGCAACATAACAAGCCATGATGTACTTTGTCGCACGAAACTTTGGACCGGTTGCTGCGATGTGTGTTTGGCCYATGATGCTCACCCATGGCTTTAATGGCTCGTGTTCCTGCGGTGTGACCCAACTCCAGGGAGTGGATGAACACCTCAGTTCTTCTCTCTCCGCTGGCCAATGTCAACTGCATWAAAAAAAGAATTCACGAATGAGCCAATGGATCTGAAACTTGGTTATTATGACTTTTTTTTGTCCTTCTATTCAAATAATGGCACAGTGGCATGAAAGAAAGTAGTTTGTGTATTTTAGTTACACAGTGTTTCTTACCTCAGCCTGATAAAGCTGGATCAGAGCGGGCCGAGCAGCAAAGCGGCAGTAGTACAACACCAAGTCAGCCAGGATGGGAAGACGCTGCTCATATGAACTATCGTAGGACTCAGACTCTGTTTTTGAGGTTTGCTGCGACAAYATTTACAGTATATTACAGTACAGCCACACAGTGAGGTGGTGGGAAAAACAAAACACCACATGTTGTTAAAAAGGTATTTATGAGGCACTAAGAGTTAATGTTCAACTTGTACCTGGCAGACGACACTGGCGGGAAGCTTGAGCAGGCTCAGGGTATTTCTTTCGTACCACGGGTCCAACATGCCCAGTAGGTGTGCAATGTCATTTGTGCTGTCACCTGTGCCCACATGGTTCTGATCCTGCATGAGGAAAACATCAAACAATCAACCCAATTAAAACTGATGTTTTATACTAAACTCTGTGACAGGTTTTCAAAAGTCAATCTTGGACATGATCTGACTTTTACACAAAAATCTGGAAAAAAAATTGACATTTTTGAAGGTTTTTTTTTTCCTAAAATATTGCTTTATTGCACATGTTGACTCATTTTGCACTGAATGAAAGGCTTTGTTAAAATCTCATGCCTCAGCAAAGCTCACGTGTCTGATCAGGAAACCTGAGCTGACTAATCAGAGCAAATAAGGCCTTTTTTTCTTTTTTTGAGAAAAGGGAAGCTGACATTTTTAAATCCWTTTCTGTAAACAGATAAAGGCAGCTAACTCGGTGCTATTGGTTTGTTTGCAGAAAACACTGATCTTTAATGAAAGTAGTGAGCAGGTGGAAGAGAACCCAGGGAGGTGAAGGTATACCCTGGACAGAGGAGGGATGAAAAGTCGATGGAAGCAAGACAGAATCAGTGTGAATCAGAGGGAGGTGGGTGGAACAGTGAAGTTACAGGGAATAAAGGTAATGAAAGTGAAGGAGTTAAAKTACCTGGGGTTAACCATTCAAAACAATGTGCAGAATACATGAGAGGTGAGCGTGCAGGCAGKGTGGAGTGAGTAGAGATGACTGTCAGGGGTGATTTGTGACAGAAAGATGARAATGTAAAAGTTTAAAAGATAGTGAGACATTGTATAATGTACAGTTTGGAGACAGTGGTACAAACAGAAAGACAAGAGMGGGCACTAGAGGTTGCAGAGAGTTTGACTTCGCCCTTCTTCCTACGGCTTGATGCGGATGCACGCGAGTACTGAAAAACAAGYCTAAGGGTCCAGMTCAGTGGACGGTCCTAAACAGATTTTCTACGAGAGATCCAAATACCCGGACAGGTGACTGACCTCATCTTTAAAGGTAAAGCTGGCTGTGTTATGAGTATCGCTGTCTGGCTGAACGCTGAGCAGAGGAATGCCTGGCCTCTCTGGTTAACCCACATTATTTAAGTTAAAAGTTAGGAAAGCTAACACCTTACTTTCCTCCTTTTCTTAAAACCTACCTTGCCAAACTTAAGTTATTTGCCTCAAATGTCTGGTATTCTACATCTAAACTTGACGTTTGTGTTCTATTTAAGTGTCTGATTGAGATGAAGCTCGAAGGGCTTGTTATTGTTGGTCCTAACTTTTATAGGAAATTGATTGCTCACAATTAAGTGTACTGTAGTGATTTTGTCTGATTATGTAAAATAAATGATCACATTTATTTATGGATCAAATCAAAATCCACTGACTCACGTAACTTATTGTGTGTCCATTCACTTTGCACTGGAAGAATATTTTACCGAAAATAGAGATCCTTGTTAAAATAATATCCTTGTAACCTTGTTATAAGAAGATATGGTTAAACTCTTACAAAATGGTAAACTTTTCATTGAGAAAGACCAAAATGGACAGGATTGGTATGTTAGAGGGACATCTTGAGATGGTTTGAACATGTGCAGAGGATTGATAACAGGCAGAATACATGTATGTTCAATCTAAAATATGGATGGGGACAGATGCAGGCTTAACATCTGTTGTGATCCYTGAAGAGAGCAATCGAAAAATGAAATGAAAATTAAATTCTAGTGTCAGTATTTTTCCAACTTACACAAGACAGGGTTGCTCCTTTCGGAGATCCAGTTTGTATCAAAGGAACAGAAGGCCTTCGATGTCCTAGTGCTAAGTCCCTCTTGACAGGCACAAAGTAGAACTCAAGTTTAAAGACTCTGGTAAGACATGGAGATGTACTCTCCTTCATCCTCAGGCTGCTGTAGGCTCGGGCCACCTTCCCTGCCACGTGATCAGCACCAAACACCACCACCCTGAGCGTGATGTTCTTACTGTCCTCATCACTGCTCAGAATAGGCCTCCTTCGAAAGCAGACATGTCGRAGAGATTGAGTTTGTAGCTTAGGTAAGGGTTCAGGACTAAATAACTTGACCTGCTGGGGCAGTGAGTTGGAACGAGTTTCTCGCCCCAATATGGGCTCCTTTGATTCAGAGTTACACAAGCTCTTGGCTCGGTAAATTGTCCGCGGTTGCTTGGGTTTGGGAAAGATCCGGTAGAAGTGCTGGCTGAGACGAGATGAGACTTTACCGGACCTCAGGGAACATTTCTCTGCCACCGGAGAGGAGCTGATGTAGTCGTCAGAATCTTCGAAGTAGTCGCTGTCCACTCCGGAGGCGACAGAGAAAAGGGACGGGGAGTAGGACTCTGAGGCCCCTGACAGGGTGGAAAACATGGAGTCTTTAGAGGTGGAGGAGATGGTGGAGAAGGTGGAAGCACGATGGTTGCYGTTGTAGCCATCGTGGACGATGGAGGCCGATACCACTCCGTGCCCCTCCTCCTCTTTCTCTACCTCATCATCTTCGTCATCGACAAACTCGACCTCCCTCTCCTCCAGAGGCTGCCCGTTAGTGACCAAATCATCAGGTTCTTGCTCCAAAAGCGTGTTGAGAACATCTGTTAAAAATAAAATACTCATAATTAGATAACAATATAGCTTGCATATATAAATAAATGGAGTATTATTGCAAATGTTACCAAAATTATCCTTTTCCCAGTGAAACATGTAAGTTTTGGCTGTAGGCAAAGGTAACGTCTGTAACATTCCTGAGAAAAGAACAAAGAAGACTTCTATCATACACAGCTCAAATGAAAAAATATTTAGATATGTTATAGTAGAGTGTCAGTATTTATTCAATAAGGATGGCTTTGCATAAGCTTTTTCGCTATTCAGATGCCATTCATCCGTTTCCATGCAATTTCTATTTGTTAGTCCTCTCACATCTTTGGAAAAAAAATATATTAAACTGTTGTGAGCCAGTGGAAGCAACTCTGCCTATTTTTAATCTTTTTTTTACACTTCTTAAACAACTAATACATCAAAATGTTGACATTCTGTCAGCCTAGATTATTAGAACAGTAAGTTTTAAATTGCTACCAGGCTTTAGAGAATAAAAGTTGATGTATGYAGTAATTTTAGGCAGCAGGAGAATTCTACCTTTCAAAACGTCTTCAGAAATCGTCAGACTTACTGTCAGACTCCCTCCCATTAGATGAGGAGATTTTCAGAGACTTTCGCAGAATCTCCAGTTCCTGGATGAYGTGACTGCGTGCATTCAGCGGGTCGCTCATTAAAGCGGCTGTCTCCAAAATGTCGCTCACCGCACAGAAAATTTCTTCCAAGGTTTTTACAGTTCTCGCCTGCAAAAGTAGCAATGTTACCACAAACAGAATTTACTGGTGTTCCATTCTCTTAAAGGGGCAATATCATGTAAAATCAACTTTTTTTGAGTTTTATATCATGTTATAAAGTTATACTC